ATGGTAATTCTGTTAACCTTTAAGAAGAGATCAGATTTATCCTTGTGCCTCTGTGTGCATGTGCTGTGACTGGACTTTAATGAAATATGAGAAGTGTGTGATGACTCTGTGTGCAGTAATCAGGGGTTAGAGCAGGTTCAGTCGTCATGGCCTCTGGCCTCTGAGTGGCTTGTTAAACCCATGCTGAACCTTCAGACACCCGCACAGAAGCTTCAGTTCTCCATCTGTACGTGCCTCAAATCATGTGATCAGGTTACACAATAAAAAATAAAAAATGTTGTCAAATCGAAGTAGTGGAAAAAAATATTTGTTTTTTAAACAGTTTTTTCCCCTCAGTTGTTTATGTAACATTGGTCATTATTTTTATTCTCCAGCCAGAAGAGTAAATTTGAGTCAAAACTAGTATTTTTAATTAACAATATAAAGTATTTTTAAACAAACTATGTTAACTAAAATTTGAAAATGTAAATATATAATAATAATAATAATAATAATAAATATAACCTTTTAGACTGAACCCCCCCCCCCACACACACAAACACACAAACACACAAACACACAAACACACAAACACACACACACACACAAGTTATTTTATTTATTATATTTGGAGAAACATTTTTGCTTTTATTTTTATCCTCTTATACTTTTTTTATCCGCTCGAAATAATGAAAGCATCCGTAATCGAGTAACTAGTGGAATTAGCGAATTAGTGGATTGCTTATGAACTCGAGTTGCTGAATTATGACAATGTCTACTTTATTACCTTTATATAATATGTTTTAAATGGTTGTAAGAATGCATATTTCATCTCGCATCTGAAGAATCTGCCCACAATAGTATATATAGTATATTATTCAATATATAGATTTTACTAGTATCAGTACAATCTGTGTCCCATTCACTGAGAGAGACACTATATGACAAAGCAAGGAGAACCTTTTAAATGCTGTCATTTTGCTTAATTTGAAACAATGCATAAAATGCATAATAATGCTTGAAACAATGCATAATAATGCATAATATCAGTATGTAATAGTAGCCTATGTAATTAAAATGAATTTCAATAAATAAAAATATTGTTAAATATCACACATTATGTGTTATTTGTCACATCTATAGTAGACCATTTTTGTGCCGTGGGGAAGAGGAGGATTTTCACTCAGCTACCACCGCAAGTTATAGCACTTGCATATCATTGCTCGCAAATGATTGTCCTCATTTGTAAGTCACTTTGGATAAAAGCGTCTGCTAAATGACTAAATGCAAATATAATGTAATGCAAATGTTTGTAAAATGTGTTTTTATGCTTGTTTGAGCAGAGCATTTATATGAAATTATGCATTAAATTATTATTTATTTTTATAAATATTTTAGGAGGTATACAGTAATACATTTCAAAATGTATAAAAAATATTTATATAAAAAATATATGAAATTATGCATTAAATGATTATTTA